TACGTTGCAAGAACCTCTTAAGGAGAACTTGAATTATGAAAGACCGATTTGCATGGCTTATTAGCAAAGCAGAAACAGTGCGTTGCGAAAACCCAAAAGGTGGCAAGCAGCTAATGAAAAATCAGAATGTAGATTAACAAGAAAGCGGCGCACAAGACGACACAACGATGTGGCCGGTGAATTTCATACAAATATGTGCAACGCCCGGAGTTGCAACACCCATTCGCCGGTGAAATATTTCACCTTTCGCACTCGGCGCAACGCGATGCCACATTATTTATGGCAAACCACGCATTTAAATGCAAATCTTACCACAACCAACTGCGCTGTGTCTTAAGGCGCGCAGCAACGGCCGTCGTCTGCTTACTTTACACAACTAAACTAGTATTCTAAAGTCAACGCGCGCTTCACAGCCACATCCTTGCAACGAACTGCTTTGTCTTGCGCCACAAGGTTACCGGCGCAACCAGATTGTCTGTCTGCGGTTACAAAGCATTTGTTGCGCGTATGCAACTGTGTATATGTGAGTGTTTGAATGTGTATGCGTGCGAGCGCGCATTGTCACCCCCAGCCGGAAGACAACCGCATGTTGCCACAAGCAGCTGAACTTTTCTTGTCGCAACATACCTCAGTAAGCTGCAACCTCTGCGGCGCGCGCTCGTCTTAGCCGCTTAACAGCATACCGCGTTTCCTTAATTTTTCTTTAGTTTAAGCTTTGCGTTATTAGCCGCGTTGCGGTATGTGCGTCGTTGCATGAAGTTCATCTTAGCGATTTCCGCTTTCGCGTCGCTGCATTTAGCTGCATCATTCATCGCGACTCTTCCTGTCAGTCGCGCAACCCCGCATCGTTGCCAGAACTTTTGCTAGAGTTTACACTTAATTAGCGTTGCAACTTGGCCGCGCGTTGCAATGCAAATTCTAAAGTCCGTCGCGCGGCATAAAATTTGCGAATGCAAAATGCAAATGTAATTGCAATGGAAATGAAGTCGGAAATGGCAAGCTTTTCCAATGATGTGCGCGTTGCTGTTGTTGTTGTTGCTGCCGCAACTGCTTGTCGCCTGTGTTGTCCGCTGTGACCCGGCGTGTTTGTTTTTGTTCGTCATTTCTCTGGTCATTTCGTTGGCACAATGCTTTTAAGCTAATTTCCCTTTATGTTATTCGCTTTTAGTTTTCATTTGTTCTCCTTCGTTTCAACTTTTTCTAACATATTCATACAGCTAGAGACATATTTTTAATATTTTTCTTTTTATCGCCTGCAAACTGCACTTTTAATTAGTTCAAGAATTTATTGCGTTGTTCAAACAAATTCGCTAATTAAATATTCACTGTAATTTCGTGGAAAGTTCTACAAGTGAATGGGTGAAGGAGAAGGTTTTAAAGCAAGTAAAAAGAGCTTTCGTCTGAGCTAGTTTTACGTGACGAAGCTGATACCAATTTTCAACCAAAAATGTTAATTTATTTTAAACAAAAAATTTTTATATTAAATCCGTTTTAATGAATATCGTTTGAGATAATTTTAGTTTCAAAAAGTCACAATTCTGAATTTTTTTCAGTTATGTTTTAGACTAATTGATACAAAGAGCCTAATTCATTTGCAATCTCAACAAAATAAATTTTTAATATATATGGTAGATTTGCACATCACCAAGCTCTGTATTTATTAGCGGCCAAACCTAGTGCGAAATTCTTTATTTCATATATTTTCATATTTTCAGAGGCTTCAAAATAACAAAGTATAATTTTAAATCGATATCTCAAATAGTTTTGAAGCTACAGCCTCTTAAGGCATTCAGATCCATGAGTTTATCTTTAAACCCGTTTTTTCTCAAAACTAAATTTTCGAAATTTGCGTGTCATTTCTATTTACTCGTCGACAAATGATCCGACCATTATTTCTCCCACTAGTGGATCATTCATTTTTTGATCATATCTTCAATTTCATCTTTTTTTAACGCCACCTTCTTTTCAAATTTTGGTTTTTTCCATCCGCAGGTCACTGTATGCATAATATCTTCTGTAGAAAAGTTTTTTTAGGTTTCAGCCACTAAGTTGTCGTATCACTAGAGCAGTGCCGCGAATTTTTTAGCACCGTCTGAATTTTTGTGTAAGTACTAAAAGTTGCCAAAATAATTCAATTCATATCTCAAGAAGAAGAGAAGAGAATTTTACCGTGTTTTATTAAAATATGTATAAATATACCCCTAAAAATTTTAAACAAGTGACACAGTCGTTTTTTTTTATTTCTAAAAATCTTCTTTTATAAAGTCAAACTAAGTGCGTCCCTTAAGAAAAAATAACAGACTTCACTAATTAATCATATTCGGTAAGACTTAAGCTACCCAAGTTATTTTGATTGATCTCATAGAAGCGATCTCAAAAACTTGCTTACAAAAGCAAGCTTAGCTCGTTAAGTGAATGCTACTAAATTAGTAAAAACTAGCACACCACTTAAGCTTTTGTCAGCACAAATCAAATCACAACACTTATAATTGCATCAATTGAATATATAAGAAAAACATGAACTTCCCACCAGGTTCTATAAATGCTCCCTGAACTATTCTTTATATAAATTTCGACTAAAATATATATTATTTTCCAGTTTCTCTTTCACGATCATAAGACTTTTTTGAAACAGTAGGCTCAAAATGGAATACTTATAATAAATACTATTTTATCTTATACTTAATACTACTTTTATCTATAAATTTTATTTTCCATCAAAAACGGCGGTCATCAAACACTGTTCCATGTCTTAAATGATTTCGTACCAGTACTCTGTATTAAAATGTTGGTAATAAACACTACAATGTGAGCACTAAACCTTCATTTATAATCACCAACTTAAAGTGTAGTTTATGAATAATAGTGCCTTCCTACATACTGACATTGTTACCAGTTGCGAGAAGATGTTGTCAAAAGTGTGAGTTTTAAATTTATTTAAAAGATTTGCTGCTTTAAAAACACTAATTATTTAAGAGAAAGCTCAAGTATATGTAATACAATATAGATAGCTATATCAAGCAACCGACTCTATTTCTTTTAACAACAGTTTTGGATCCATCAGCAAATTGAACTTGGTGAACAACACAAAAATTCGGAGACTGTCAACACTTATCATATACTCAAAATTTCAATCTTGAATCTCAAGATGCTCACTCTTAAATAGAACACGTAGAATAGAATAATAGAATGATCCAATTTAGGTAAAAAGTATTTTGTTAGATAACTTGTTGCCAATTTGTAGTTATGTAATTTCATAAAGCCACTCTTATAAAAACTTTCTTTATAGTAGATTTTCACAGGTTTCTCTTGACGCGAATTTTTTTTGCCAGAACAAAAACATTCACCATAAACAGCAGCATGTAGTGATTACTTGGTCATCTTGGTTATGGCCTCGAACATAAGGTGGATGCATAAGAACCTTCCAACCAAGTGATTGACTATCAAAGTATCAAAGTTATAGTAGGCAATTACCTTCCAATTCAACCAAACAACGACTGTTTTCTATTGACATTATCATAAGTGACATAATTCTCATTTTGTTAAGATTCAGCTGGGTTTCCCAAATGGAATCTATGAGGTTACAACGAGCTTATATTTAATTAAAAACAATTAAAACAGATTTCCATTATTTTAGCGATATTCTTGTCAATTGGTCTTCCAGATCGGAATGCGTCTTTGACACCAAATTTTTACAATATGTTATAAGGACCATTAACACAAAATTAAAATAAATTGTAAAATTTTGCATTGTTTATTTTTGTTGATGTCCATCTTTTACCATTGCTCAAACCATAATAAGTCAAAAAAATTCCAAAACCGTCTTACTAACGCCACGTAGCGTAACCCGAAAGCACCTATACAACGAAAGATACAGATTACTAAAGCGAGCTATTGGAAAACTAATGGATTTGTCTTCACTAGAAGTCGTATTATTGGAGGCAACTATCAATTAAATTCTAGGTAGCTATGGTAATATCGTCATACCACAGTTAATTCAACTCACCTAAACTTATTACATAAAGCTCTGTATACGAGTATAACCCTCCCATTTACGTATGATTGAAAAATGCACGATTTTGGAATGTTTTCCACCTCACTCGAGTTGAAGGTAAAAGCTTAAAAAACCAATTTCATAATATATCAAATATGCTATATTGGCATTAGGAAGTCAAATCCAATGCATAAATGCCATCTCATGCATCTATTGAACTACTGAAAGTGTTTCGATGCTCTCTCTATATAACCAAATATGTTACATTTAAAGTTATCATTTATATGCCACCGGCTATATTATAGCTACGCTTGTATTAGCAGCGTTGGGGAATTACATATTTTAGAAACTAATTGTATATCTCTTACGTCTTTCGTCATTTAAAAAATATGTAAAATACTCATTGATTTAAATTTTAAAATTAGTTTTATTTATTAATTTTATTTCAATACAAAATAAACTAATTTATTTTTACAAAATTCGTAAGTACAATATTCGAAACTATCATATATAGAAAAAATATTAAAAATACAATGCTATATCTTCACTATTAATTATAATACATAAAAAAGTTAAATATTTGTTCGCTTAATAGGTTCACTTTATTTAAGTTATAATCAAAATGTTTCATAAAATACTTTAATATATTAATATACAAATTATTTATAATTTTTTTTTTCCTCGTTTCACTCCAAACTAACAAATTTGCTTTACTAAGTTTCTGTGTCTAAGCTCTTTTTTTTATTATATAATTTTTTTCCATTACTTTTAAAAATTTTACAAAATTTATTATATTTTTTCATTTAAAAAATAAGTTTTCTTTTCAAATTAAATTAGCATTTCTTTTATATTATCGCTATAACTAAAAACAAACAATGTTTAAATAAAATCTATGTAATAAATGATTTTTTTATAAATTTTAAAATTATATTTTTCATATTTAAATAAATTTAGTTTTTTAATAATATTTTAATATATATTTTTATAGTATTTTTAAGAAAACTCAGTGTACTTTATTAAACTATTTTTTTAATTATTTACTTTTTAATATAAAGATAAACTTAAGTGATGTCATTCTGCTTCTGCTTAAATTTGAAAGCAGCTCTTTTTAATTACATAACCTGATTTCTGTGCTAACATAAATTAAATGTTGTCATTCAGAAATTGTTTGAACTGTCAAATAATTACTTAATAATGACAGCTAACAACCAATGAACAAGAATTTGCTTGCGAACTTATAAAATAATATACAAATATATACTGTATCAAAAACGGTACTTATTACAAAAACCCTTACGAAGCGAGGATACCTGGTAACCCTTGCTCACATAACGACTATAAAAACTCACGCAATTGAGATGACTAAATAATTTCATCTAAATTTGCTAACTGAACCTTTTTCATCGTATTTTTTTTTTGCTTTTCCTTACAAGTTTAATTTTTCTGCTTTTATTTTTCTTTGTTTTCTTTTTCTTTTAACTCATCCTTAATCTGAAGAGCAACGGCAAACGCAAAAAGCTTGCACTAATTGAGTTATGCTGCTTCCGCATTGTTTTCTCACTATACCACTCACTTGACTTTCACATGTAGTCCACCCTTGACGACCGCTTCGGCTGGCGGAAACCTTCTCGCCTGACTAATGTCACTCTTTCTACGTATGCCAGCGAAAAAGCCGCCACCACGGCGTGGCGCCGTAACAGCACTCGGACGCAGTGATGTAGTCGGCACCACCGATTCGCTAACGGCATCCTCCACAACCTCTGCCACACCGGCCACACCAGCCGTACCAAGCAGCACTTCTGGCACAACTTCCACCTGACCGGTGCCCTCAGCCAAAGGCAATTGATCATTGCTACTGCTACTACGCGCTTCAGATTCCTCATCCACAGCCGGTCGGTATGTGCGTATGCCCGAGTTGGAACGTACGGGCAGCAATGTGACCAATTGTGGTGCCGTTTCCGTTGTGGTATCCGCCGCAAACTGTGATGACTTCAACATTTCCTCGTATTTATTTGGGTCAATGACCTCCACCTCGGCCTCACCCACAACTGGTATGGCCGCACCGATGCCCTCAGAGGATGTGTCTTCCATGAAACTGGACATGGGCTTGATGAATGGCTCTTGTCGTTGTAGCGGAAGTTCAATGAAATGTTCAGTTGTTGCTGTTGTTGTTGTCGGCGTCGAAATTGTTGTTATGGTTATGGCTGGCCTCGTGCGCAATGTTGGCATTGTCGTTGGTGTTGTTGTCGTAGTTGTCATTCTTCTCGTTGTTGTTCCTGTTGATGTCCAAGGCATTTTGGTTGCGGTCGCTGGTACTGCCGTTATTGTGCCTCTTCTAGTTGTGGGCATCCAATACACTGTGGTCATTGTTGCCGGTTTGTCTCTAAACGCTAATGGACGTGCTGTGGTGGTGGTTGTTGTTGGTACTGCCGTCGAGTTTGGCAACTTGGTTCTGCTCTCACTCGTGACCTGTGTGTGCTTGAGCTTGTTCTGCGAGAATGGTGGCACTTTTGTTTGTACCATGGGCGTAATGCCCAACTTGGATGCCAACGTATCGAAGATAAGCGAAATATCTTGTATGTTGGTCGCATTATTTATGCGTGTCTTGATGTCATTAAGCGTGAAGTTATCCTCCGTATTACCGCCCACATCCTCGGATATCCACGCCTGCAGCGTCTTATTGAATACCTTACGCATGTTGCCCGTATGACCGAAACTATTGGTGGCTGAACTGTTCATGAACTCCCATTTCGATTGTGATGGAAAGAGATTGGAGTCATCAAGTATGGTCGGTGGTTTCTGATTGTATGTGGGTCTAGGACGATTCCAATTTGTCACTGGCGGCTTGAGTGTGGGGCTAAAGAGAGTTGGTGGCGTGGTTGGCGTTTTAGTTGTTGGTGTTGTTGTAGGTGTTGGACGTCCGGTTATGTTCTCGATATTGCGCGTTTGGTTTTTAGCCTGATTACGCTTCAGAATAAGTTCTTTAATATTTAAGAAAGTGGGTTTTGCTGTTGTTGCCACTTCTTCAACAACTTCCACCACAGGCTTTTCAACACTCTCAGTTCCAACCGTGGCTGATTCACTCGATGCTGCCGTAACCGTTACGGTAGTTACTTGTACTTCGTCCTCTTCAACCTCCTCATTCGGCAACACTTTAGTTTCTAGTCCGGTCTCCATATCTTCTACATTTTCCTCTGGTTCAATACGTGACTCAATCGGCTCTACTGCCGGTTTGGTCGTATTGCGTGCATTTTCTTTTGGTAAGTTCAACAATCCCATAAAGAATTCACCAATTGTGTCAGCCAACTCAGAGTTAGCGCTCGATTCGATACGATTTATATTCGGCGTACTCACTTTTGGTCTAAATGTCGAGGTTGTAACACCCTCCATAGCGAACTGCTGCAACAATGTTGGTAATTCGGTCTCACTCTCACCATCGCTATCACTGGCAACGACCTCGGTATCGGGTTTCGACTTCTCCTGCCCAGTCGCCAACTCCAACTCGTGCTTCTTAACTATCACACCACCGCCGAGATGCTCAAATTTCTCATTGGTCTCAATCGGCACTTTATCCACGCCTGGTATGAGCGGTTTAAATGGCGGTATGATGACATCATCGATTAGCGGTACCGGCAGTGGATGTGGCTTGACATGCGCGCCTGCGCCTAAACGTTCTATATCTTCAGTGCCGGGCATGAAAACGGGATTACCAAAACTGTGATAGAACATCATATCTTGCGGATTTGTCGCTTCTGCGCTTATTTCCGGCTTACGTACAGCGGTACCAAAGTAACCGGATGCGTATGGATTGAAGGCAGCTGGTGTCGGCGGTGAAGGGTTGTCCGGTATAAACGGCAGCTCCATCTCATCATTTCTTCGTATTGGTAGATCAGGTCTATAGGCCGGTGCGAGTGGTGCGACGAGCATTGGTTTGTCTACGCTAGCGAGTGTTTTTGTAGGAAAGGCTGGCGGTGGCCCAGGCATCAGTTCAGGCACCTCACGATGTATCGGACGCCAGGGTTGTGTATCGAGCACAGGAACTGAAGCAAAGAGGTTAGCATCCAACTTCGGCACGCTCAAAACGATGGACGGTGTAGTCATGGGTGGTAAGCTGAATTGTTGTTTTGGCGAAAAGGCGGTTGGGGATGGAAATGTTAGCGGCAGGATGGTTGCTGGTTTTTCGGTTGTGCTTGTTGTTGTGGTAGACGCAGTAGTTTTAGTTGGTGGTGGCGTCGGTGGTGGTGGTGCTGTTGTAGTTGTGGTAGTAGTGCTGGTGCTGGTGCTAGTGCTTATCGTGGTCGGTTTGCGTGTCGTAGTACTTGTTGTGGGAGTCGTACTAGTGGACGTGGTCGAAGTGGTGCGTGTAGTTTTAGCAGTGCTCGTGCCACGAGTAGTACTTGTCGATGTTGCAGCAGAAGTCGTTGGTGAAGGCTGATTCTGAGGTATAATAGTCGTAAGCTTCTCTATCGATGGTTTCTTCGGCTTGACGCGCAACGCAAATGGCGTTACTGCCTTCGGTGGTAAGCTAGTGTATGCCTTGGTCGGTGTAACCTTCTTGCGTGAGATATCAGCATCAGTTTTAGTAATTTCGAACGAGCCCTCAAAGGAACCTTGTATAACTGGCGCATTCTCGACATCAACATCGGGTTCATCATCAACCGAGTGTGGACGATGTGTAGTACGCGGTTTAACTGTTGTAGCTGGCTTCGAGAGCAGAGTTGGCGCATTCGGTTTCTTCATTAGACGTTTCTCCAGCTGAGACTGACTGGTGGGCTGCTGCACCTAGTAGTTATGAGGTCAAGATAATTATGAGCTCAATAATTATTAAGAATAGTGTGAAAACCTAATAATACTTACAGCATCCTTGAAGAGCGACGCAGCGCGCACCACTGATTCATCCAGTATGCGTTTAATCTCCACCGACTCAGCATCTATACGCAGTGAACGATAAAGCGACTTGGCAGTAGTGGTTTCCAGAAAGAGTGATTCTTTTATGTAGTCCTCAACGCTGTGTATATTTCTGCAATAAACTTTGAGCTTAGTCTTATTCGGTATATAGAAAAAACAGTTTCCAACTCACTGTGGTAATTTTCTCACATCCAAAAATGTGCGAAAAGACACTTTTATCAGCGGTCCCTCACCAAAGCCCCACGTGTCCACACGCAACGGCTGCAAACCGTTATCCATCAGCGAACGTTCAACGAAGCGTTTATAAAATTCGATTTTCTGCTTGTAAGTAGTAGTGTGATTGTACTTCAGACCCGTCGAGAAGAGATCACCCTTCGCTATGCGAAACGAACCCTCGAAACCCAACACAGCTGTAAGAGTAAGATAATATTATTTGTAAAAAAAAATGTCATACATTAACGTCAAAATACTCACGATCCTCCATATTCGCTTTTACCGAACTAAAGTAGAACGCTAGTCCGGCTATTGAGATCACGGCGAGTAATACAATAAATACAGCGGTCGTGAGTATAATAGAGAATGAACGCGGCTTCTGGTAGTGTGTATGCGTTTTGGCGGAAAATGTTGAGGGTGCTATATTGCGTCCATCACGCCATATACCCCACGCATTATAACTGTATTGACTATTTAGACTGTGATCGTTCGTATACGAGGGTTGTTTGTTCATGTGGTAGTAAGCCCCAAGTGTCGAGCGACGGCCCAATGTGTTTTGGTAGGTGTAATCGTTGGACTGGAAATAGAGAAAAGAAAATGATTGTAAGGCATTTTATTCATATAAGAATTATCTTATATATTAACTAATATTTTTTAGAAAAAATAGGGAACTAAAATTACCATTGTTTCAATGTAAAGTTTTGTAATAGCTTTTAAAGCTGATTAAAGTCGAAAATACACGAAGGGTACGCTTTATAAAATTTGTGAGCTTTATAAAGGGGCTTTTTTATACATTAAGCTTTACTCGGAAGCTTTTTAATGTCTTTCTGATCCAATATTTCTTAGAAGAAGTCAAAAGCTGAACTACATAAGATTTGTGAGTTTTTAACTGAAGCCTTTTATATACTTTCTGCTTTGGAGAAAAGCTTTTTAAGGCCCAAAAGAGCTAATTATGGCCACAAGAGCTAATTATGGCCGGAGTTGTTCGAGGTGTAAGCTATATAAAAATTGTTAGCTTTATGGAGGGGCTTTTGTTAACTTAAAGCTTTAGTTTGAAGTTTTTTATGGGTTTCGGGGTCTAATATTGTTAAGGAAAACTCAGATGGTGAGTATTACACTGTACTGAGCCTTACACTGCAGTATTTATTAACTATTAACTTTGGTGTGCAGCTTTTCAAGAACTATAGAAGTTTATGGCCAGAGATGCTCGGTGAGTTAGTTTTATGAGACTTATGAGATTAATACCGCCGCTTTTATTATCCTCTTTTAGGGTAAAACACTTCATGATCTTCTAGAGCTACTTATGCTGCACAAAGCTTGAAATGTGACTTGATAAACTTTGTCAGCTTTACAGTGCAGCTTTAATAGAGTGTAAACTTTAATGCGAAGCTTTTTAAGCCATTAAAGGTATAAGTATTCTCGAAGAAGCCTAAAAAATAGGGTTTAAAAGTTTTTGAGCTTTTTTCTGGCGCGTTTTTGTTGTTGAGGCCAAATGTGCTGTCGGAAGCTTTATGGATTCTTCTTTTAAAGTTCATTGGACTCAGAGAGTATTGAAAGCTTAGTTGATTAGCGATGGTACTCTGGAAGATCTATATCTAAAAGTAGTGATTTTTAGAGTCTTAGGAGATGGTAATGCTATTTCTAAAGCTGGCAGCAGCGCAAAAGCTCTTTGTACAAGGCAACATTCGTAACGGCATGCGTTCAACCAAACCTAACCGCTTCATACAAATAGCTGCCGAGACACGAAAAGCAATGAAAGTGATCAAGAATGTGTGGAGATGCGATAATAATAATAAAAATTCCTACAAACTTCCATCCGCGCACTCAGCGCTGCCAGTGCCATGCTGCGATTTTCTGCAGCAACAATTAACAGCAAGCGATTATCAGATACCAGTTATGTGGCAACGCCTAGTTAATTAAAGCTCTACAAGCGGCAAACTTTAAGTGGGCAACAGCATGCTGCGCCGACGTCGACGACAACGCCCAAACTACGAAATTAATATCCGACAGGTACTGCAGAGATGCCAGCGACAGCATCTGATTACACATATATACTAATATATGTGTGTATGTATGTGTTAGTGCTTGGAGTTAGTCCGCCAATTTGTAATCCGACACATGCCACTGCCAATGCTAGTCAACTGATTAACAATTAACCAGTTTTCGTCTGGCAGACAATGATGTCCCGGGGGACAGCACGGGCGCGCATATACACACACATATGCAAATACAACGAAATGAGCGCAAGATAATGCTGGGTTGAGAGATAATGGCTGCAAAAATAACTATTCGAGTCTGTATCTGTGCATATGTATATAGATATATATATGGAAGGCACAAAACTTCATCTCGATTAGCTGCTGCCGACTACACGACTGACTAGCTATTTGATAGGCACTGCATACCAACTAAATTGGCAGTATTGTAATTATAGAAATTTGCCTATAATCGCTGTGTATGCATGTGTGTGTGAACATGTTGCATGTGGGTACATATATATATGTTTGTATGACTGTGTTTGTGCCACTTTGTAGTAAGACCTTCAAAACCGTTTCAAGAGCAGTCATTGCCACAACGAAACTATACATCAAATTCGATATGCTTTGCAGCAGAAATGAGCGCGCATACTAAAAGGATTCCATTGAACTCGCCGGCTGAAGGCAACAAAAGGCTAGCAAACACCAAAAAATGCAAAGAGAAACATTAAAATCATCAGTCGTTAATGGTTTTGCCATTAAAATAAATTACTTGCTTCTAACTACATGATATGGTTGCTAGGCGTACACGCACACACACCCCTACACTAATACAAATGTAGTTGTACGCTTTTATGACTGTAGTGTTATTGTGCGGCAAGCAGCAAATGCAACAGCTTCCTGCATTTAATGGAATTTAATACTTTGTAATACTTAGCAGCACTTTACAGCGGGCCCTTAAGAGCGTAGAGCATACAAATATCATATACACACATATGCGTACTCATAACTATATATGTATATTTGTAATTGTGACATAACACATTTTTATACCCTGAATAGGTTACATTAAGTTTGCCATTTGTAACACCCAGAAGAAAACGTCGGAGATCCTATCTATATATGTATATACATAAAAATGATCAACGTGGCGAGCTGAGTCGATTTAGCCCTATCCGTCTGTCTGCATATGCGCGAACTATTTCTTTAGTTTTGAAAAATCGATCTGAAATTTTGCGCACAGTCTCCATGAAGCTTCTCATCGTCGGAATCATATCAACTAAACGATCAAAAAAATGTCCTTATATGGAAAACTTTTCCATTGGATGAGATATATTCACAAAATTTGGCAAAGTTTATAATCTTTATCAATTGTTTAGATCGGATCAATATAGCGTATAGCTGCCATACAAAATGATCGATTTAAATCAAGTTAGTGTACGGAAAGCTTTTTTATTTTACAATATCCAAAGAAACTGTTCAGATCGGACTACTATATTATATAGCCTCCATACAAACATATCGATCAAACTCAAATCCTTGTATGGGTAACTTTTTTGTTTGATAAGATATTTTTACCAAATTTGACACAGATTATTGCCCAAAGCATGGCTGTAATCCCCGAATATATTATTCAAATCGAATCCAAATCAACATGAACAGCTTTTTATAAACTTATTTTATAATAAATGAAATACGATGAAGGGTATTCTACCTTTGCTTTTCTCTTTTCTTGTGGACATACAATTATAACAGCACTGTTTGAATGCCACCAACATGTTGCTGCCGTTAATAGCTTCCTTCTAGTCACATATACGCATGTTTGTGTATTTATATATGTGTGTGTATGTATGAGACAATTCCGCTGCCCGCTCAAGGCTGTCATAAAGTATTTGTAGCCATACTTATAAGCTCGTGATATCAGTTGCATAGCTTAACTCAATTAAATTGCTTTCAACTGTAAGCATAATGCCGTACATGCCACACATTATTGCAACAATGCGCGCGCCACCAACAGCAGAAAAAATATAAAAGTGTATATTTAGCTACAATTCCTATGCGTTCAATAAATGTGATATTTTTTCACACAAATGTCCATTGAAGCAATACAAATGCTCACCACTACTGTCACATGCACCTTCTGCCATACATATCAATATTCAGCACGTTTATCGAAAGTGTTTACTTTGCACTATGAAATTTTTTTCAGCTTTACGATTCGCATATCAAATCAACTGCTTAATATCAAGAGTAGGTGTCTACCCCACATACAGCCTTATCTACTGTTCTAGCTCTTAGTCACACTCTCTTATAGTTACCCTTTCTAAACCATCCACAAGCAGCTAAAATCATCTTTTAGCCACACTTCACACACCGGTGTTGCTTTCGCTCTTTGTTGCCTTAGTTCATTGAACTGTTTGCCGTCTGCCTGTCAGTTGTCAGATTTATCACTCAAACAGCCATCAATTCTTTTGCTCACAGTGTCCAAGTAGACACATCTAACTGCCTGCTTTTGTGCTCTATTTTTGGCATGGATATGTGTGTGTTTGCCTAAAGGGAGTGAGTGTTAACATCTATATTTACAGCACAAGTCTTCTAACTCATACGAGGGTTACCACGTATTTTAATGACATTTTTCCAAATAATAAAATTTCAATGATATGAATTTTCATATACCAAAAGGTTCAGGGGTTTTGCCAATTTTCTTTGTTCCTGCTTTTCCAGGATTACAAAATCGTTGCGAAACAGCAGGGGTTAAGTATAATAAATGAACTTTATTATTTTAACCTCAAACTAACAGTTTTATAAGTGGCAACCCTATCGAATCTTATATAAAATGGGGAACAGTATTTTATACCTTTTGTATGAAATTATACGAGTGCTAGATTTAAACATATATTATTTATTGATGGCAAGCCTAAAAAGAAATTAAATGAAAAAGTGTGCACCAATGATTTTAAAATTTGTTCGGCAGAAACTTCAGATGAGCTTGTTCCAAAGAGGTTTTATAAAGTGTTTTCTCAAAATTATTATTTTTATATATAATATTTCTGATATTGACAGTTGGCAACCCCTTTTTTAAAAAAATTGTTATGCCTTATTATTCAAAATTTCTCATATAATACTTTTTTATTTTTTTCGACGACTGTTTTGTTTTAATATTACACATTTTAAACAGTCTGGCAACGCTTAATTTTTTTTTTTTTTATTTAACCAAATTTACTTTTGTTATAATAATTTTCGTCATATTTTTCACCGCATTTAATAAAACAAAAGTTTATATTAGTGGCAACCCTGTTAAAAATAAAATGCAGCGGCGTTTAGGGCCTTTACATAAATTACACATGTTTCTGTCAAATTAGTATATATTATATATGTATATGCAAATACATACATGGATACATATTGCAGTTATTATTTATTAAGGCCACATATGGCAATCCCACAATTCCAAATTTCTGGAATTTCAAATTTCTAAATAAATTGCCATTTCAGAAATTTCTTTTACAAAACTGAGCGGAGTTTTAATTAATATTTATTTTTTTAGGGAACAGGTGGCAACTTTAAAAACATTATTTTATTTTATCTTTTGTGCAATTAA